AAAGGTTTGTGTATTAGATCTAACTAATTGTATGCAATACGCGATGATGAACTTGTTGAAACGATGCACGATACTGTTATTAGGGTATTGATTAGTAGAATGTTCCCTCTAAATTATTTCCATATTACAAGAGATAAAAGTGGAAAGTCTATCGTCTTTAACTCTTTTTCAAAATTGATGATTTCATGAACAGAGCCCACACTCCGCTCTCTTGTAGTGCTAGAGTAAATTTGAGAGAGACTAGTGTCGTTAGCATTATTCTTCTTATTAAATTTTAATAAATGCTTTTAGGTTTTCCATGATTTTCCATTTTCCTTCTTTTTCAAAATTTACCTTTATATACTATGCTCTTGCTAGTCCAATTAACATAATGAGCTGGATTCTTTGTTGAGTTTTGGAATGGATTGTTACCCAACTATTTATTTTATCAAGTTGACTTCAAAACATCTTAATTTGGTCGTCTCACAAACCTACTTGTATGTCAAGCAACTCCTTTAAAAATGAAAATAGATATTGTGGTAACTTCATAAATTGTCAACTTCTTCTTCATAGTAAAATTGTAGTTTACAGGATCTAATAAACAACCAAAAATTTGTATTGTTATTGAATCAAATACAAATATTAATTACTAATACATTCTCGTTTTCGTTTTTAATTTTGACCTGCAGATCGAATGATGATAGCTGTAAAAAAATATAGTTTATCCACAAAATTAGAAGAAAAAGAAAAAAGAATGGAATTATCCTAACAAATATACCAAGCATCTCCAAAAGAATATTAGGTATAACTCACAAACAGATTCCTAATTAAGTAACACTCCATTTGCTAATAGAAGTGATTTCGTGTTGTCTCTCTCAAACTCAAAGCATCCAAAGTGAGTACAGCTATTGAGAAGTAGGGTACGTCTATCATTTCCACTGTTTCTGTGGAGTAATAAGACATAGAAATATTCTTGATAATATGCCTTTATTTTGACCAGCCACCAAATTGTGCATCCAAGAATTCGTCACGAAACTGTATATGCATGATTAATTATGCCATGTGTTGATATAGATATGTTTTACTTCTTAGTTTCCCTACTTCTTAATTCTTTGAGTGCACTGAAGCTGCAGTCTTCAATCATTGTTGTAGTGGTTGTCAGACACAGACAATTTTAGGTTTAATTAATCAAGATTTAAGAAAAGTGACATCCATGAGATCGAAGTGTTTGTGATTTACCTCTTTAATTTGTTTTGTATGCGAAAAATTGAATTGTTAAATCTACTAAGTAACAATATATATAATCGGAGCATTCTCCTTTGTATCTCAAAAGGGATAGGGTTATGACAGCTTCCTTCGTAAATAAAAGGGTTATTCTCTAATTAATCCAAGGGATGGATCAGTAAATCTAATAAATTTTTAATGAATTTGATTTTTAATGAATTTGATTCGTGTACTCATGTCAGACTAATAACCGTTAGCATACCCTCCTAACAACCTGTAACCAAGATCTTCTGGGCTCATCTCTAGGTCTCATTTCTCCATTAATTATGATCATATCATCAAGGAAAAATAATAAGAAAATCTTTTTTTATATTTATACTGGATTTGGATCCTCTTCGCTACTAAAACAGTAGTGGATGGGCTACTATTTAATTATAACCATTAGTTTTCTAATTGATGGTTATGATTTTTGCTTTGGGTGTAAATTAAGAATGAGAGCAATACCCCGGGTATAGTGAGCATTAAAATTTAGATTGTATGACAATCATCCATTAGATAATCAATAGTTAGGATTAATAGTAATGGTCTCTTCACTATTTTTTTTACGGGTTTCTATAGAGTGCCTATGGGCACTTTATAAGAGAGGAGAGAGATAGAGAGAAATGAATGAGGAGAGGATCACAATGCAAATTAGGGGGGCCCCTCTTCATTCATTTCTCTCTATCTCTCTCCTCTCTTATAGAGTGTCCATGGGCACTCTATAGAAAAAACGTTTTTTTATAGTGGAGAGGAAACGTTTTTTTATAGTGGAGAGGGTCCAAATAAATCATGCCTAAGATTGTGAAACATATATAAGAGGAAGAGTCAAACACCTTTTATGGCTAAATACCCATATTGGTATTTTAATTCCACCCTAATTTTCAACAAGTTATTTTAAATAGGCAAACCCGCTTTAAGATATTTTAATTGATCCAACTAATCAATAAGGTATGTTTCCTCGTCGGTGGGCAAATTTCCGACGAGATCTCGTCACGTGCATGGCATGTGATGTCTCAAAACTCATTTTTAGCAGCGGCGACGGCAACAATCTCGTCATATTCAGCCCAAAGTAGGATAAAATAACGATTATGACGCCGCCTGAGATCGCTAACCCCATCAAATCGGCTGAATATGACGAGATTGTTGTCGTCGCCGCTGCTAAAAACGAGTTTTGAGACATCATGTGTCATGCACGTGACGAGATCTCGCCGGAAATTTGCCCGCCGACGAGAAACCATGTCTTATTGGTTAGTTGGATCAATTAAAATGTCTTAAAGCGGGTTTACCTATTTAAAATACTTTGTTAAAAATTAAGGTGGAATTAAAATACCAATATGGGTGTTTAGCCCACCTTTTATTATTATTCCCAAGGAAGGAAAATACAATATGCAAGTGGCCAAATATAAATCCTGTTCATGACCTAAAAAGTAGGCAGCAGCAAGATTCAGCAATACAACTAGGTCAAAACGTAGGCTCATTTAAAATAAAAATAAAAAATTGGTGACAAGTAATTTTATTTTTTTTATTTATTATTATTATTATTATTTTTCGCTAACTCAGTTGTTACTCTCCCGAGTAGGAAAAGAAGGAAAAAAAAAACAGTAACGCACATTTAAGAAACAAAGAATTTACGCTTCGCCTTAGATCTCAATCCTTCAAAATGTCTCACATATCTCATTTATTTGAAAAGGATTTAAAAATTCATTGATCATGCATAAAGTTTCACCATTATCATATGGCCACATATGCCGCATCTTTCCGTGACAAGAGCAAAGACTACGCCACCTAGTAGTGACAAAAATGAGGCTCTTCATGCTGGAAAATATAATTGATCATAGAAATTATATATATGTGTGGTCCCTCTAAACTTATAGTAAAAGAAATAGTTAAAGAACTTTTTAATTGTCACGCGATGACAACAACATATATTTCCTTAAAAATAATTGAGTACAGACATTGCTGCAACTCAGCGCATCTGGTAATGCAACAACATCACACATAAAATGCTGTTGCTGTTTTGCACCGACGCGGATTTTTGATGATCACGTGGCGGTGAGATTTTGTCAATGGTAATTACTTCGTTGAGACGAAGAAGCAAGTTGATAATTGTGATGATAAGGGGTGATGACGATGCACCGGCACGATACTCAAAGGCAATTATATATAGATTTTGTCATATACCAGTTTATTAAGGGGCTGATTGGATAGGTTTTTTTGGGTGGTAAAAAAAAAGAAAGCTGTAAAAAATGTTAGTTTTTTGGCAGCTTTCCCCCAAAATCACCTTTTTAAGAGGTGGTTTTGGGGGAAAGCTGCCAAAAAGCTGACATTTTTGATAGCTTTTCCCACTTTTACCACTCAAAAAACAGGAACCAAACAGCCTAATAGAAGATACCCTTCTAAAGATTTAAGGGAAAAATGCTTCCAGCCCCCAAAAGCTAAGTGAATGTGCTTCCCACCCCCAAGACTTGGTCAATGGGTGTTTTACCCCTAAAAATAAAGATGTTATTCTCTGAGCCCCCAAAACACAAAACCCAAGACATTAAAACATGTGAAGACCATAATACCCTTCTCTCTCTCTTTCTTTTTTTATTAAAATATAATGATGATTATTTTATTATTTTTATTTTCTCTCTCTCTCTCTTTATCATGATGTACCAAGAGGATAGTTGAAATGATTGATGAGGATTATTTTATTATTTTTTGTTTTATTATTATTTTGGTTGTTTGTATTGGGAGGTTGTTAAAGTTACGGGTTGATTGTTAAGGTTACGGGTTGGTTGTTAAGGTTAAGGGTTTGTTGTTAAGGTTATGAATCCTCTCTCTCTCTCTTTCTTTTTTTATTAAAATATGATGGAGATTATTTTATTATTTTTGTTTTCTCTCTCTCTTTATCATGATGTACCAAGAGGATAGTTGAAATGATTGATGAGGATTATTTTATTATTTTCGTTTTTTATTATTTTGGTTGTTTGTATTGGGAGGTTGTTAAAGTTACGGGTTGATTATTAAGGTTACGGGTTGGTTGTTAAGGTTAAGGGTTTGTTGTTAAGGTTATGAATCCCCTCTCTCTCTTTCTTTTTTTATTAAAATATGATGGGGATTATTTTATTATTTTTGTTTTCTCTCTCTCTTTATCATGATGTACCAAGAGGATAGTTGAAATGATTGATGAGGATTATTTTATTATTTTTGTTTTTTATTATTTTGGTTGTTTGTATTGGGAGGTTGTTAAAGTTACGGGTTGATTGTTAAGGTTACGGGTTGGTTGTTAAGGTTAAGGGTTTGTTGTTAAGGTTATGAATCCTCTCTCTCTCTCTTTCTTTTTTTATTAAAATATGATGG